CATTTCGGCACATCCCTCACGCGTTTCGTGGCGCCATAGTGGGAGGGTTCGCACGGCGCCACCGCGCCAATGTCGGCACACCCCTCACACCTTTCGTGGCCTTACAGGGAGCTCCACCGAAGTCCCCGGTGGCAGGGTTCGCATGGCGCCGCCGCACCCAGTTCGGCATACCCCTCACACGTGTCGCGGCCCCATCGGGAACTTCACCCTGGGCCTCAGTGGCAGGGTTCGCATGGCGCCACCGCGCCCCATTCGGCGCACTCCTCTCACGTCTCGTGGCCCATAGGAAGCTGCCACTCTTTCGTCCCACCTGCGTTGCGTTACTCGCAACCGCTTACGTTTTTGTTGGGTGTCCTTGTTTGCTTGTTTGGTTTCTCTTCCCTTCGCTCTGTACCTCCACATTATATATACCATATACATTTACATCGGTCTCTCTCTCTCTCTCCCCCTCTCTCTCTCTCTCCGTCTAAATTCCCTCTCCATCTCTCTCTCTCTCGGTCTCTCTCGGTCTCTCTCGGTCTCTCTCGGTCTCTCTCTCTGTCTTTCTCGATCTCCTTATCCCTAGGTGCTTGTATACATGTATATGCATATATACACACGTTTTTTTTTTTTTTTTTTTTTTTTTTTTTTTTTGTTTCCCCCGTTTTTTTTTTCTTCTTCTTTTCGTTTTTTTTTTTTTTTTTTTTTTTTTTTTTTTTTTTTTTTTTTCTCTCTCTCTCTCTCTCTCTCTTTCTCTCTCTCTCTCTCCTTCTGATGACGATGATGATGCGGATGATTACGGTGGTTGTGGTGGTGAAGATGATGACGATGATGATGATGACGATGATGATGCTGATGACGATGCTGATGGAGAGGAGGAGTTTCAGGAGGAGGAATATAAGGTCGAGGAGAAGAGGAGGAATCTTAGGATGAGGATGAGGCTGAGGATGACGATGATGAAGAAGAAGAGGAGCTGGAGGATGAGGGGGAGGTCGAGGAGGAGAGGAGGAATCTGATGATGAGGATGCGGCGGAGGATGATGATGACGACGATCATGATGATGATGATGATGATGATGATGATGATGATGATGCTGATGCTGATGCTGATGCTGATGCTGATGCTGATGCTGATGCTGATGACGATGATGATGCTGCTGCTGATGATGCTGCTGCTGATGATGATGCTGATGCTGATGATGATGACATTGAAGATGAGGATGAGGATGAGGATGATGTGGGGGAGGAGGAGGTGAGCAGGAGGAGGAGGAGGAGGAGGAGGAGGAGGAGGAGGAGGATGGTCCTCCCTGGCCCTTCGTGGGTGCCCAACCGACCGCGGCGGCGAGCATTTGCTGAAGCCCCTCGGGATGAAGGACACCCATTTCGCGCTGCCCCCACGAAAGAAGAGGCCCAGCCTCAACAGGAGGAGTATGAGAGGGATGAGTGTGGAGGGAGGGAGGAGGGCTGAGAATGGATGGGGGAGGAGTGTTGACAACGATGACGATGACGATCAGGATGACGTTGCTGATGATGACGATGATGATGACGATGATGATCATGAGGATGATGAGGATGAGGATGAGGATGCTGATGAGGGTGATGATGCAGATGACGAGCATGATGATGCTGATGATGCTGATGATGATGATGATGATGATGATGATGATGATGATGATGCTGATGCTGATGCTGATGCTGATGCTGATGCTGCTGATGATGCTGATGCTGATGCTGATGCTGATGCTGATCATGATGATGCTGATGCTGATGCTGATGCTGATGCTGATGCTGATGCTGATGATGAGGTTGGTGCTGATACTGATCAACCTAACTGTTGCGTTTTGACGATGCTGAATCGCACCAGAACGCCACTGCTGGGACTTCAACACCGCGAGTGAACGTAATTGTTCCACCCTCATAAGCTGGAACCCTTTCAACACACCATTTCTGGTGCTTTGATCATGGGAATCCGTGACACTTTTGTGAAGTGAATTCTATTGACGAATGTGCGCGGCGCTAAGACGGCAGCCACATTTTGACAATGGGTCGCCCTCAATCCGTGAAATTCTTGCAAACTTTTATAACACTTTTGCGCGGCGCCAAGGCGAGAGCCACATATTGAAAACGGGTTCCTTGAATCCGTGAAACTCTTGCATTTTTTTGTTAAAACGAATGCGCGTTGCGCTAAGGCGAGAGCCACATGTTGAAAATGGGTTGTCCTCAATCTGTGAAACTCTTGCAATTTGTTAGAACGAACGTGCGCGGCGCTAAGGCGAGAGCCACATTTTGAGAACGACCCGTCCATTTGTGACGCTCTTGCCCAGTTTGAAGCTTCAGGGTCATAAGCGGTGAGGAAGCCTGAGGCGAAACACCTGGCACGCCTTACAAAAAAACTGGCCTCGGGGTGCGACATGGATACATTAACTATAAGGGCAAGGGATGGAGAATGAGGAGGATGAGGAGGAGGTGGATGATGAGGAGGAGGCGGTGGAAGAGGAGGAGGAGGAGGAGGAGGAGGAGGA